GGTTTCCCGCCCCACCCGCCCTTCTTCTACAACAGGCTTTTTTAAGGTTCTGGGTCAGCTGACTGAAACTGGAGTTGCAAGCCCAGAGCAGTTTATCAGTGAGTATATCGTTATTTCTTGGCGTTTCCGTAGAGGTTGCTGGGAACCAGAGGGTCCTGATGCTGACGGCAAAGCTACTTGGGCGTGAGGCTCCCGACTGCCTGATGCCAGCGGGATTTATTAGTTTGGGTCGCCTGAGGCAGCCTTTGGCACTCAGCGCTGGATCCAGTTGCAGCTCTCCCAAAGGGCTCCTTGGCTGGGACAGGCCTCAGTCGTATACCTGCCTTTGAGACTGAGCTTTAGATACCTGGCAGAAGGGACTACTAGGTGATGGCTCGTTTTGGCTGAATGATTGCAGCACCGGTAGCGAGGCAGAGGCTTGCCTTTGATCATAGCTCAACAGCGTCCTGTGCCTGCTTCGCTGGTTGGACTGAGATGTAAGAAGACTTAGAAGCGCTGCCACCTTCATCGTAGCGCCCATCTGCAGAGGCGCTGGGGAAGGAGGGTTCCCTCGGCAGCCGAGGAAAAGGCATTTGTTTAATTTCTGCTTTTTCCTGGTTCTGTCTCTGGGTTAGTCCGACGCCGGGGCTTTCAGGTTCTGGGGTCTTGGGCGCATCTTCCTTGTGATCCTCAAGCCTGCAGTGATCTGCATTCAGAATCTGTTGCGAGTGTTAAGACTTCACAGCAATTTAATCTGAGATTAACGGTGACTGTTCTGCTGTCTGCTCCCACAGAAACCTTTGAGCACATGAAGAGATCTGGAGATTACTACGTTACTGTCGTAGAAGACACAAATCTTGGACAGATTGTTGCTACGGCAACGCTGGTTATAGAACATAAGTTCACTCACTCCTGTGCAAAGGTATATTCTCTCGCTGCAGCTGTAAAGTGAGGAAAAAGATCTGGCCTCCAGACTCCGTGCATTTTATTTTTATGGTGTTCCTGTGTGATGAAGTACCTTCTGCTGAGTCAGTGACAAGGGCACTTTAAAAATATCTCCCATCCTTGGGTGCTCAGCTAAACAGTAAAAGGAAGCTTTGGCTTTTCTTAAGGAAAAAGAGCAATTCGATGTCTGTCCCGTTCTCCCTCCCAGTGAGCTTTTGAACTAGTCAGGCTTGGTTCTGACGGAGCAGATGGCTGAGGATCTCGCTGCTGTGGAGTCCCGGCTAGACGTGCGAAAACGGGGAGCTAGAGGGATACAAATCCCTCAGCGGGGAAAGGCTGTGGTGGGACTGCGGCTCCTGCTGGGCGCTGGAAGGGGCGTTAGGAGCGTGTCGACCGCTGGAGGAGTTGTAGCGAAATAGACAGCAGAAAACCCAAGTGTGAAATGTAGCGCAGTAGGGAAACTAACACGAGGGTGTTCCGTTCGACTAACGCTTGCCTGTATTTTCACAGAGAGGAAGGATAGAAGATGTAGTAGTAAGCGGGGAGTGCAGAGGAAAGCAGCTTGGTAAACTGTAAGTATTTCGCCACCTTTGCCATTCGCCACCAGGCAGGGCAGCAAGCCCTCACCCAGTTGGTTCCCGTCCCCCCGCCTTACCACGCTGACGGGTGCCAGCAAAGATCGCTCACCAGACCTCCGAGAGCAGGATTTGAGCTCCGCGGGTTAGCCGCCGGGCAGATCCTCCCCAGCCGGCCAGGTTAAAAGAGCCTAGCCAGCGCTAAGCAGCCAGCACTAGCTGGCAGAGTGCAGGCCGAGGTTCTCAAAACAGTAACACAAAATTGTCCACAAGACGCTGGTACTTTGTTCTTTTTTTTTTTTTTCCCTTGGGATAGCAACTATCCTGTGTAGTGAAGGAAAAGGCGGAGTGCTGTAAAACTTCGGTATTGCAGGTCTGATGACTTCAGCTAATTAAATGTTAATCGATCCAGCGTTCAAGGACGTTTCATTTAACTGTTGGTTGTCTGTCTTTTTCAGATTAACGTCCACCCTGACATTGCTAAGTAAGAGACTGAACTGTTACAAAATTACGCTTGAGTGTCTGCCAAAAAATGTGGATTTCTATAAGAAGTTTGGCTATTCGGTATCTGAAGAAAACTACATGTTTCAACGGTTCTTTAATTAAAGAACTTCTAGTCTTTTTTTCGTAAAGACTGTTGGTGGAGGAGCTTGTGCTACAAACATTCTCTTCATGGAAAATTTATATAGTTTATTGCTGCAAATATAATGATCCCTATAAATAACGAACATCAAATGTGTAAATCCTGCAAAAAAAAAAATTATCGGCGTTTTAGAAGGGTCCTTTGGGTTAGGAAATGAGTGCTTAGAACTAATTTTTACTACTGTTCAGTCTAAGTGAAGCTTTTCTGTTCTAGCTGAGTTACAAAGGACTCTTGTTAAAGGGATGGTTTTTAACCAAAAGTATATATTTTTATCTGAAATTTTTTCTTGCATTGTATTTTTCTAAAGGTTTGTGCTTCTTTTCTTGGTAGCCAAAGTACAGCTCGCGGGATTGTTCTCCTGTCTGTACTTCACGGAAGGCTGACGTAGCTCGGGTAGGGATGATGCTTCTTTCGCGCAGAACTAGTGATCCAGCGTTGGGCGTTTGCTCTGTTCTTTCCGTGAAAGCTCACTGAAGTGCTGTCGATGTTAGCGTACCTAAAGTTTTATAGGCACTGTTTTCCAAAACCGAATTTGTTACTATTCGTGCGGGTAGGGGCTATGCTAAAGCTGGTGTTCCGAGCCTAAAAATGGATGTGTACTTCTCACTGCAGGGGTCCTGCACTTTAGCTGATAACTTACTTTGTTTTCAGGATAATTACTTGTTTTCTGACACAAAAAAAAAAAATAACCCGATGGTTTGCGACAGGGCAGAGGTGACTGGGAAACTGGAATGTCTGACAGACAGAATACAGCCCATCGTAGCGGGGCTCTGGCTAGCACTCAACGGGAATGTGATTTGGGATTGGCAGTTAATGCCTGCATCTGTAAGAAGGCAGTAATGCATTCAGCTTCGCTCAGCGCACCCGGCCGACTCGCTGTACTTGAACCCTCGAGGGCCGGGTGGGCTGTGGTTTTGCTGGTAATGGCTTATGCCTACGGCATAGCGAGCTGGCAGAGAAATCCCCCGATCCCGGTCCTGAGGGATTGGATGCCTACGGCATAGCGAGCCGGCAGAGAAATCCCCCGATCCCGGTCCCGAGGGATTGGATGCCTACGGCATAGCGAGCCGGCAGAGAAATCCCCTGATCCCGGTCCCGAGGGATTGGCGCCGCTTTGCGGCATCCCTCTTGCTGCAAGATTGGATGAATGATTTTAGCACTTTTGCCAGTGATGGCAAGCAAATAATGTACAAAGCCCTGGCTCCAACAGTAGCGTTTTGTGCGAAGAGAGGGACAGATCCTACATCTATGAATAGGGCATTATAAATACATGAAGGTTCGTACAAAACAGCCAGTCTTGTTCGTGAACAGTTAGGCCTTACAAAATGTTCTTTCACTGTGGTGTGGAGAGCTACTTTAAGCTGTGGTGGGGGTTCTATTTAATGTTCCTGATGGTACTCCACTCGATATAGTGTTTCCTTGGTGATGTCTGATTTATTTATTATTTTTAAAAAACAAAAATCTTTGTTTAAGCTGAATAAATGAAGACTGCCAAATGCATCCGGTCTGTTTTTCATATTGCTGTGTTGTGCCTAGCGGTAGGTATCCAGAGTAAGTGTGTACCTATCGTCTTTCGGAACAGTACCGCCTGCTGCAAATACACTTGTTTTCCTTTCCCTAGGCTGAGGAATGTTTTTTGAGACTCCGTATTGATTTTCAGCGTTGTGTCTGATGCCCGTTTGCATCTTCGCGAGTATGACTTCTGTGAAGCAAGTCTTCAGAGGAATTTCTCGGCTTGTTCTGGTGCCGGAGCCTGTGCCTGCAGGCCCAAATCCCAGCCCTGCAGCCAGAGGTGTGCATCCAAACAGCTTGATGGCTTACAGACATGGGCACCAGCCCAGGGCTGCCAGGACACCTGGGAAAGCAAGAGCGAGGCACAGCCCGAGACCTGCATGTCTCAGAGCCAGGCTGAAGCTTCTAACCCATTCATGCCCCTGAGAGCTGCAGTCAGGCCTAGGCACCCCATTTTCTTAGGGGCGTTCTCCCCTGAGGGAGAACTGGGCTTCTCCCAGCTGTGCTCTGCTGACAGAAGATTTAAGTAAGTGGCTTGAGCTCCAACTCTGAACTAATTGTCTAAAATCAGCTACTGATTTATGCTGAGCCCAAATGACTGAGGTGGATTTTCTTGCCTCTCAGTTTTAATTAATTCTGAATTTCCACTAATTTCAAGTGGATTATTTGAATTCCATGATATCTACACCATCTAAATAGCTCCAGGCCCTCATTAAGAGTTAATGAAGAGATTAGTGCAAGTGAGGAGCAGGTGATTGTGTACCCAGCTTAGATCATTGTAAAACAAATGAATTGGGTTGAAAGCTCGGTTTTGTGGCTGCAGGACAATGCCTCTGCTGGGAGGAGTCCGGCTCATCAGCATCCCTTTAGCTTTGAAGAGCTCTTTGTTCTGTCCCAGAGGTGACGTTCCCAACCCCTCTGGAAACAGCAGTTGCAGCAGCTCTGTGTTGAGGGAGGAAAGGCGCTGTCACCTGCTGCCTCACACCTGGTTAACGGCGAGGCTGTCAGGAATTCCTCTGAAGGAAGACAGGACTGGGTGTACAGCCTTTTACCAGAGGAAAGGGTTGTTGTGGGTGTGAGCCGCAGGGCAGAAACGGGCCTGTTAACAGCAGAGGTCCTGGAGGTGTCAGCTGGCAAACGCGCCGAACACGCTGCCAGCCCTGGTAAAGGGGAACGTCTCCGCAAAGCGCAGGCGGATGCTGTAGAGCTGATGCTTACCCAGACTGGGGCCTGACTTACTTACAAACGCCACTGTGCTTTCAGGCACGCCCCAGCCAGAACACCTAGTACGCAGGTATATGTATTTTAAACTGTCACTGTTCACAGGAACCAGGAAAATGCCACAAATTGGCATCCACAAGTTGGACTCGATGATCTCAGAGGTCTTTTCCAACCTCAATGATTCTATGATTCTAAATAACAGTATTTAACAGCAACAGGTGGTATTAAAATACATTATGCCTCTCCTAAAGGGAAGAAGCCCTGTTAATTTATCTACAGTACAATTGGCTCAACATGAAAGAGCAAGACCTGCCCCTCGCAGGGACCAAAGGAACCAAGGATCTTGTCAGAAATCAACCGTAACGTAACTACCAGCTTCTCCAGAGGTTTAGCATTACCTCCTCCTCGGGGTTTTGTTTTTTGGGTAACAGCTGTCCCCCCAAGAGGAAGAGATCTCCAGCTCCTTCACTCTGCTTCCCCTAAGCTGGAAAAGGGAACTTCAGCACCTTAACATATAGCTGTTATGTGGATCCCCAGGGATCTGGGTACTGCAGCTTTGTGCCCGAACCTGGGGGGGGGAGAATTCAACCTAAGGCCACAGTGAGGGACCCCTGCTGCCAATTACCACGTTTGGTTTAACCCCAGAAAGCAAACAGTAATTGAAATACCTACTGGCCGTAAGCTAAATGAGACGGATGTCAAGAAGTTTTAAATAAAAGGCTTTATAATAGATGAGGAAAACTAAGCTCAGAATCCCTTAGGATCTGTGAGGCTGTTGTCTGCAAGGCAGCAGGCAGACAGACCAGAATGGCTGTAGAAGGCATCAGTAGGGGGTAATGGCATGGAAAAAAAAAATAGATTGATGGAAAATCCTTAGTCATGAAGCTTGTTAGTTTGTGAAACAGTCTCCCCAGGGAAGCACCAGGACCCCAGTGAGATAACAGAACCAGGCTACACATGAACAAGCCTCTATCTATCAGGGGATAGTTAGATGAATCAAAAGCGTTCTTCCATCTGTGTTTCATCTCTACCGCTTCCCAAGGGAGCTGAAATAGAAAGCAATTTTACGCAGAGGTTCTGGTTCCCATCCTTGTTTCATCAGGAGCTGGTAGCTTGCACAGCTCACCAAATGCTGCCAGAGAGACAGACATCCACAAGCCCCGCTGCAGCCATGTGGTAGCCTCATGGGGTAAGCGGTGGAACATCTGAGAACGTATTGCCCAGCAGCCCTAGGAGCGTTCTTTCAAAGAGAGCCAGTCAGCAGCACATATTAAACCCTACGACTGCAAAACCAGCACTGCATGCTTAGCCGGTCAGCTTAACACTGACAAGTCGTAGTTCTTAAGGAGATAACAGCAACACTTTCTTTTTTCAAGCTGAAAGTTTCTCAACTAAAGCATCATACATTTCTTAAAAGATTTTTTTTTTTCTGAAGGATTTGCACTGCTCCGTCACCGACGCAGGTGGCAGGGGACAGACAGCAGTAACAGGAAAGTGCTGCTGGACGCTGGTTCAGCTCTGCTGAACCTGTGAACCCTCCCCATCGGCAGCACCCCAGGGCCTTCACATTCCACTGGAGAAGAGGGTATTAGGCTATAAAGCCGCACCCAGGTGTCCTGGCTCAGCTAAAAGCCCTGACTTCCTGCAGGAGGATTTCCTCCTCAGGTGTCACCAACATCTGTTCTAGCAGCACACTTTAACCCAGGCAGTAGTTTTCAAACCAGAATCTCCCTAACTACTTGCAAGAGCCTTGACACAAGCCAAGAGCTCAGGCTTGCTCTGGAGGGGCTGCCCCTCAGCCAGCCTTCCGAGGAGCTGCAAGACAAGGCAGAGGAGCAGTGACTAAGCAAAGATCAGCAAGTCACAGGCATGGTCAGCTTGCCTTGAATACACAAAGTGAGGCAGAACTCCCACAAAGTAAACAGGCTCCTACAAAGCAAACAAGCTGCTGGACAATCCTGCAGCAACAGGCAGCATCAGAAGAGATCCTCGCAGTACAAAATGGCTTCACTGTTTAGATTCATGCCTTCAAATTCAAAGGTATCTGCCCTCAGAGGGTCCCCCCCAGCACAGGTTGCTCATTCTGAGGCTGACAGAGGACGTTGGCCATTCGCACGCAGCCGTATCAGAGTACAGGGAGATAGCTGGATGCTCAGATCCCCAAATGTCTTTTATATTGATTCAACTCTTGAGCCCACCTGTTCCCTCTTAAAATATAGTCTAATTACAAGCTCAGATTTCCCAAATCCACAAGTTCTTCTAACAGCTTTGTAATTTGCTCAGTCACCACACTGCTCTAAAGGAGCCATCGTTCCAGTCGTATCTTTTATGCGACAGACTGATCGGCAAATGAAGCAGAGATGCAGAACTGAGACTGTACTTGCACAACCAGCAGTTATCACAGCGCTTCCGAGAAGGGAGAAGAGTTAAAGTGCACGAACCGCCTTGGCAATTCCCAGTTGGAAAAAACTTTAAAGCACCGATAAGTGTGTGGCCTTAGTTGACTCTAATCCTTAGAAGAGCTGAGGTGAATCCTTTAGGTCTTGTTACTATTACAGCCAGTGCTTTAGGCCCCAGTTCTCAAACACCAACCCAATTTTTACCTCATCAAATGATGCAACTATTGTCTTGCAAAGGGAACTACTCCTTCAATACCAGTTTGAAGACGCACTATTCTAGCAAGGCCCCAGTCTCAAACACCAACCCAATTTTTACCTCATCAAATGATGCAACTATTGTCTTGCAAAGGGAACTACTCCTTCAATACCAGTTTGAAGACGCACTATTCTAGCAGATGGACAGACAATACTGGCTTGGTTCAACTTAAATCAACCTATAACTAATTTAACAAGCAGCTTTTTAATGCTAGCTAAAAGAATTCAGTCTTGATGTGTGTAAAATTGGTAGCTGCCCTCTGTATTAATTCAGCACATGACTATTTTATTAAGTAATTAATCAGTACTCTGTTAAACTTCAGCTTGCATAAAACAAGGTGAGATTTTTAGAACAGTATTTTGTCTTAAATTGGTCTCAGAGTGTCAGTCTCAAAATAATTCAGTATATAATGAGGTCTTATAACAAGGTAAAGAGTTAAATACCGATTAGATCACTGCCGTTGCTCAATTGCCAGTAGTAGTGCATAGTGCAGCTCATAAAGCACATTTCTACAAGCATGACCATAATATATACCGAGAACAAGGTGAGTTTTAGCAAACTTTTTCTTTACTAAAGTCTCTTGTTATAAATTACACAAATAACTTTATAAACAAATCCCCCCAGCTTGCATTTTGTTTAAAGTAATAACTTTATATCATACAAATAAAGAAATTTCAAGTATGAAAAGTGCATTATTGCAATAATACCTCTTTGCAAGTCCAAAAATCTTGGTTTAGAGTAAAACTGTAAAGTGTAAAAAAGGAGTAAAACAATCAGTGCCATCTATTCATTCAAGAAGTCCAACATCTTAAAAATGATGCTTAGTGTGTTGCAGAGGCAGATTTACATCTGAAAGCAACATGTAATTGAAAAGAAGCTATGTGTGTGTTCGTCATTTTGCATTATTAATTCTTTTTCCCTAGTTTTCTTCGCCTTTCTTGGCCAGAATTCACAATACAAACAGTGCTTGTCCTCCGATATCATCCGTTCTGTGCTGCTGCCACTTGCATGGTTCCAAGTTCTTCATCCTCTTCATGCATTCGCTTTAAACTTCCTGAAAAAGGCAAGAGGAAGGAGGATACACCTGAAAAGATCAGCTCTAACAATACACA